TCTGAAGTTTTAGTCCGGAAAGGGCAAGCAATGAAACAGGGGGAGTTCGGAAGACCCAGACCAAGAAAGGCTTCGGACGCTCTCACGCACCCATGGGAACAAAGCACGTGTATCGCCAGAGGCCCGGCCCAGTGGTTCTCAAACATTAGGGCCCCCGAAAACAGCCTGGTGGGGGTAAGAACAGAAATCTCTAGGGCTCTGTCCACACACTCTGACCCAGTACCTGTGTGACGGAGGCCAGAGTGTGGGCTTCACATTTGTTAATTTTGCCTTTTCACTGTGTAACCTGGGAGTGTCTGACGCAGGTTGTTCCTGGACCACACGCTGAAAGGCATCCCCAGGCAATGCGAGGTCTCCTGCAGAGATTTCAAAGAGAGGGCGACTGGGGACCATCTGTGTTGTTTTCAGGTTGGCATTTAAGGCTGGTTTTTCTGAGTGCAGTCTGGCTGGTAACATGAAAGCACCGAGTGAACGAGGCAAAAACGAGGGAACCTTAACTAGGACCAGGGTAGGAAGAACGGGGACCCATGTGACATAGTTAGGGGGTTAAACTGCCAGGGATTTTGATGACTGGAGGGGTAGAGGGGGCGGGGAGAGGACGTGTCAAGAACAGCACCCGGATGAGGTTTGATTTTAGATATCTTACAAATGCGCAGGAGGCGCTGCTTTGGAAGTTAGAGGCACAGATTCGGAAGTCATCGGCACGCGGGTGTAAACCCAACCGTGGGAGTTGGGAAGAGGTTCCGGGAGAGGGAAGACACTGAGAAGGGGCAGGCCGCGGACAGAACCCAGCGGCACGTCAACACTTGAAGGATGCAGAGCAGCTCAGGAGGCTGAGAAGAACTGCCACGGAGTTCAGCGAATAACACAGTGATGGTGGCCTTGAAGTCCCAGTTGCTGAGAACCAGCACTGACTGCCCCCAGCTGACCATGATGGACGGTCACCCCACATAGCAGTGAAAACCTGTCATCCCAAGTCTCCTGTGACCATTGCCAGGTTCGTGTCACTAGAGTTCTGGGTGTAGGAAACTGAATAGAAGGTCTAGCCATTCTATACAGAATGGCACTGACTAGCTAACTTGAGGCAAAAACATGAAAACAAAATCTATACAACCTTTTAAGAAATAACAAGGTATGCAGAAAATTATAAGCAAAAATGTAAAAAAATATATGTACTTAAGCACTTGGGTGAACAACCTTGCAAAATCTATCCATCCATATACAATTTTAAGTAAATAGGACCTTTCATTTTGTACATATGTCCATTTATATTACAGTTCATGTACTAAAATTTGTCTTTTTCACTAAACAATATTGTCACCTGCAGGTGAATAATCTATACCGAGGCTGGGAAACTTTTTCCGTAAAGGGCCAGATAGTAAGTATTTCAGGCTCCGGGAGCCACGTGGTCCTCCCTCGGCCCGGTCTGGGCACTGTCAGACGCGAGCATCCTCAGACAGGGCCTCGTGCAGATGCAGGGGCGACCGGCCCAGAGGCCGCAGTCTGCCAAAGGCTGGTCTGGACCGTAATTTTTAATGACTTCACGCTGCTCATGGCTGCACCGTAAACGATTTAACCAGCCTCACTTCGAGAAATGTGTCCCAAGGAGAGTTTCAGATGTTTGGAAATGTAGGTGCAAATATGCCGACTGCTGAGTTACATACAGGTCACGCTGGAAGCACAGAGACGACGCCAAGGTCCATCAGAAAAAGATTGATTGCGTCGTTTAGGTGTACACAATAATTCATTTCGAAATTCCTAAGTGGTAAAGTTAGAACACCAAGCACATTTTCATCTCCTTTCTGAATTATCTGGCCCCTAACTCAGATCGGTTTCTTCAGTTGCAGAGACCTGAAATTTTTTTCCAGGATCAGTTACAATGTGGTTGGTCATGTTATTTTGACTTGACCATGACAGGAAGATAAATATGTATAAAATTATAATATGTAATATAGCATACACAATATGTAACATTATAATGTAACGTAATATAATATAGATAATATAATACAGATCTACAGAACTCACTCAAATTCTCCAACCGTCCCACCATTCTCCGTTCCCTCGGGCAGGATCCAATTCAAAATCACACTTTGCATTCAGTTCTTCCGTGTCCCTGGTCTCCTTTAATAGACGCAGGTTCTCAGTCTTTGTTTTCCCTGATCTTGACAACTTTCCAGACTACTCGTGAGGCACCGTGATACCCCAGGACCACCGGACCTAATGCCCAAACCCTGGTATTCTAAATACCACACTCTGGTAAAAGAAAACTGTGAGTTCTTGGAGGAACCACTGGGGCAGGGACAGCACAAGCACAGCCCGAAACCTAGTGGCGCCAGAAAATACAAAAGTGCTTAAGGGGGGTGTGTGGGGGCGGGGCCCATGCTAAAAAGATGCAAAGCCAACTTGCAGGCGAGTCACACAGGCCAAATCTGAGAAAAATGGACAACGAAATAATGTTTGTGATAGATTAGAACCCAGGAAATAAAATAAGAATTCATTTGTTCATATTAATATAAAAAATTAATGAACAAATGAATGGACGAATGAATAAATAGAGTAAACTTTCCCTTACTATAAATTTCCAACTAGTATCTGTAGATTAAGGAAGGATTGAAATTCAAAAATCGCCATTTAGCAAACACCACAGTATTAAATGTTTCCAGTAAGAATTGTCAATGGATGCCAAAATCAGTGGTGAAGGTGTGATAAATAACAAGATACTTAAATACTCTCAAATTATTTCCCCACAAGATCTTTGTTCTGCACATAGAAATACAGTAAACCTCTCAATGGAGAAACCCAGCACACACCATCTTCGCCAAGTGATCAGTGTTACCTTTTCACTCATGGAACAAAATCGACATCATAGGCCTTCTAATGTGATGGATTGAGAAGGTCAGAACCTCACTTTCCGGTATCTTTCCCAAAATGCAAAACCTGAAGTTAAAAATGAGGAAATACCAGAGAAAATGTACTGATGGTCACAGCCCAGCCGACCTAGTATTAGACCCACCAGGGCACACCACGTGTGAGATGCACTTTCAGCCTGGCCTCTATTCAGTCCACGGAGAAGGCTATTTAAAGACTTTTAAGAAGAAAAATTACAGGAGCTGAGCCTGAAGAAGATTAAACTGGCAGCGAGGACCGGATACAAAATGAGGGGCTAAAAATGAAAGCTACAGAAGGCATCCGTGCCTGTGAAGGAGCTGTTGCATTATTGCAGGCACGTTGTCATAATAATCTCAACCGGGGTAATGGCTGTCGACATGGAGACAAGGAGAGCAGGTGGAGAAATAATACGAAGAAGAATGGAAATGATTTTCCGCTCGCTGGAGGGGAAGGGGCTGGAGGGGTGTGAGGAAAGGACGTGCCTGTCTGTGAGACTGAGCGGGCGGCAGGAGGAGTCAGTCGGCGGTCCGGGGCAGAGACAGAACTCGTAGGAAGGACTGCCTGTCCCACGAAGAAACTGAGTTTGAAGAGAACGTGCCACTTGGGCAGCGTTGCAACGCCAGTAAGGGGCAGAACCGGGACTGAAACCCAAACCTAAGTTCGGAAGTTTCTACAGCCGAGGTGAACCTCTGTGTCTGTTGAGACTTTCCGAGGGACTAAAAAGAAGGCAAATTTCTCTAACAGTCAGTTTCATAGTGTGCAGTCAGACTTACGTGCAAAATTACGAGCAACTCATAAAAATGTAAAAGAATAAGTTCCCTTTTTATTTCTGGGTTGCATTGGCCTTTACAAAGAAGTAAGGACCATGTCCCCACCCCTAGGGCTTTCCACAGTCACCCGACTGACTGTCAGAGCCCAGAGGACCTCAGCGGTCACCCACTGCAATGCCGTCATTTTACAGATCCGGTATCTGATCCTGCACATTCAAACATTTATATGTAAGTTTGATAGAAAGGATATGGTGTGAGTCATTTGATTCATACCAGGTCTCTCAGCCTATTTGAAGAGCAGGCAGAAGTAGAGTTTTAGGTTTTACTTCCCTACATAAGTTGGCAAAAGTGTTGCATCCTGAACAACTACGTTGGAGAAGAGCGTCCCCCTGGGACCACATTCGAATCCGTAAACCACAGCAAAACCAAGGTCAGCTCTGAGACTGAGCGGAAGACCCATCATGGCTCAACCCACCACGCACAAGTCAGCCTCGACAGGCAATGCGGGCCGGGCAGAAGACGCTGCTCACCGGCTGTAACTACAACTAGGCATCTCCCAGCGGGTCACTCCTGGTGCCGAGAGGTGTGGGGGGGCCTGGAATGCCCCCCTCCAGCCTCTCCCTAAAGGGAGAAGACAAGGCTGGGGGAGGCAGGGTGCTCACTTTCCCCACGGAAAATATACAACGAACGAGAAAGATCTCTTCATTTTAGTAACACGTTAAAAGGCTGAGTGAATATAGGCTGAAATAAGTAATTTCATTCTCACTAAATATTTTTCCTTATTTCCGATACCTGTAACGGTGAAATACATGCAATCCCATTGGGAAAAACAGACATAAAAAGACTCATCCCTTATAGAAACACGGCGCTTATCTTCAATTACCACAGCCAAGCAATCACAGTTCTGAACTCTTCTTGGACCACAGCTCATTACATACTCTAAGGGAGGTTTTTCATTATGACCATTTATTTCTTTACGCTCCTGAGAAGGGAGAAAAAAACATTTCTAATTCAGATACTCTACCTTCTCGCAATTAAAACACAAATTTACTCAAGACACTGCTTCCCTAAAACAACCGTGTTTCCAAAAAAGATACTCCAGGAAATTGGTTAGTAGCCATTGAAAGCTTAAAGAGAGACAAAGCTTCCATTAAAGGAGTCCAGTTCCAGCTAGTGGGGGAGAGCCTGCGAGCTCAGGCTAAAGGCTTTTTCCTCTGCATCCACTGCCTCTGATTTCAGTTTAGTCTTGATTATCCTTTTCCCCCTCCCCTTTTTCTTTTTCTCTTTGCTGTTGGATAGAATCATAAAGCATGGGGAGAAAGAGCAGTCTGATCTTACCAAAGAAGTTGTTTTTCTCAAGTTCTTTCTTTCATTTTCCGGTTGGTTCCCAGTCCAACCTTACCTGGTGAGACTGCACCTTCTCCCTGCCGGTGACCCGCCTGGGTCCGAAGTCCGCCACACCTCCACCTGAGTGCTAGACTCCCCCGGAAATCGGCTGACTCATGGGGCCTCGCCCCGTTTTCCTCTCATATGAAAACGGGGTTTAGAAACGCTGAAGCGATAACCAGATGAGGAAACCAAGGAAAGACTGAGACCCCGGACTCCACTGCCACCATCAGTCGTCACCTCCTTTCTCCGTCTCCTCAGTGTCATGTGAAGTTTCAAGTGTCCCAAAGAAGTTAATGAGAACTAGCCACTTACTGTATTTTTCCAGAAATACTCAAATGTGACAACTCTCAAAAAACAATGGTCTCTTTCCCATCATTGATACATTTAGAGCAGGAGGAATGCTCATAATCTTGCTAGATAATAACCGATATAAGTAATAGTTATAAAGATGATATTACTTGATGGGATGGACTTTAATACACAACTCAGAACTACTTAGGATTGAGGCAGAGCTGCTTCTCAGATAGAAAAAAATATCAAATAGTTATTTTTGAGCTTCTCAGTAGTTGAAAATCCAGTGACTCCGGGAAACATTTTACAAGCATAAAGAGTAATTTACTATGGTAATTGCAAAAGGATTATTAATACTTATAGGCCAGTGGTCTTGACCTTTTCAAATGTCACTGTTCTGCTGAAACTAGAACTTAAAAATTTATTTAAAAATAAAGTGTTGTGATATTTACCTTAGCTTTTTTAAGTGAATGAGATAGCAAATTCATAAATTATTTAAATATATCACCTACGTATTTAGTCTGTATATGGGCACGAAAAAGAAAGCATTTTTTTCATTGCAAGGGACAGTACACACACACACAAATTCTGTCCCTGCGTCTCGTAAATTCTAGATGGCAACTGGATGGCAAAAAGGAAAGGGAAGACTACAGAATTTTCCATTATTTATCTCAATTTTGACCTTACATTTGGAAAAGGTGAAGGATCATTCTGACCAGTGTTTCTTCAATTCTACAGCCTTCTGGAAGAGAGAATATCAATTTCATAGCGATGCCATAACCGTTTATTCCCAGCACAGCAGGGATGCTCGCCTGATGGAAACGTAATTGGAAAAAAGTCTTTCTTATGTGGCATCATGAACCATCTGCCATATCCAGGTTTTACAATAAATATGTAGCAAACTCAAAAAGAAAAAAGTAGAAATAAAAGTTGCTGGGACAAAATTAGCTCCTAAGAGCTACAGAAAGATGACATTATTAGGGAAAGACACACAAAAATTAACAGCCTATTAACATGTAAAATACCACTGCACAGAAGCATGAATTTTGATTGCTTTACCACAGTTCCTCTGTACTGGGAATCCAACCCACCAAGAAGTGATTTGCTTCCACTTATTTATTAACAACCCTATAGTGCTACCTGCCAAATCTGTTCTAAGTGCTTTATAAATATTAAATCCCTCCATTTGCATAACAGCCAACTTTGCAGGTGAGCACTGTCCCCACGCCTATTTTACAGTTGGAGAAACTGAGCCAAAGAGCCAGGATGGCAATTTCAGCAGCCAGTTACCAGAGTTCTACCCGCAGGGGACGTGGTGCTGGTGACTGTTTCCTTGCTCTGCTCTGGGATCACCAAAGTTTCTCTAAAATGTAGCCAACTCACAAAAAAGAGGATCATATTCTAAGATTAACTTCAAAGTTAGCACTACTGTTCAGATTCCCATTCTGGCATTCTGTAGTTCGTGGAATGCATGCTTCCTTTCCCAAAAAGCTTTCCTATCAAACACAGGTCCACACAAAGGATGAAAGTTGCTCTCATTTCACCAGTGATAAATAAATACAGTGATTCAACCAACTAAAATATATATACGTATATATTTTATTTATATATACTTAACAAATGCCACCTCTCGTACATAAATTTTGTACACACAGGAAAATGCAAAAGTAGGAAAATAAAACTGAATGTTATTTTTTTCCTCCCCTCCAAAAAAATGATGTGTTATTTTGCATGAGAACCTAGGTATAAGAATTAATAACACCCTCCCATCCACCCCAAAAAGTAGAAGAAAGTAGGGCATAAATAAAACTCAGAAAAAAAAATGAGTTTGCATCTCCCAGAGGGAACCGCAGTATGTACCAAAGAAGTCACGTTGTTTTTCAGTGTCTGTGAAAGAACAGAAAGAAACCAACTAGCTTCCTTATGTATTTCTTTCACACCAAATAATGAGCCAATTTTCAATGACATTAATGTGTTCCCTTGGTAAACAACCAGGTCCCAGGAGCCCGGCACTTCTCGCTCTTTTTTTTTTTTTAAATCCCTGACTACTCATTTAAAAACTAACTTAGACCTCTCATTACACTTACTTCTTTATCCACTGAAAACTTTCAATGAATTATGAAAATTAAGTAATATTTCACTGCAAATATGTTTCATTACTTTATTTATTAAAGGGTCATAATGGGGGAGGTAAAATACAAGCTGAAAGTTTGGTGAAAAAAATAGTAATTTTGAACTAGTTGGACTGGGGAAAAGACTCAATAATACCCTACAATTGACTATAAGCTCCATGAAGACAGAATCTGCATCGATTCCTTCCTTGGCAGGAAACCTAACACCCAGAAGATGATCTAGGATTAAGCCATTTTAAACCCTACTTACAAGGAGAAGAAGAGGCATATTTTTAAACAGTATGCCATTCTAACATTCCTGCATATAAATAAATGCTTTTGCAGACCTCAGACGAAGTTAATCGCAGATTACACTACCTGCTGCCTACACACAGCACACACACCTACCTGTTCATGAATGAAGCTTCCTTCTTTCATTTCAGGCCTCACTCCTCCTTCCAACATCTCATTGCACACACCCCCACCCCGAAGAAAGACATACCCTCTTCCAACCTACAGCAATGCCGAGTTCCTCATCAGCTCTTTCCTGTGACTCTAAAGTTGCACTCGATGGTTACCTTCCTGTTTTCTCCCTGGCTCCCGTTAAAATCGATTCTGTAGCCCAGCCCCACCTACCCCAAGATTCCTGGATCCTCACTCAGTCCTCTGCTGATGCCAAGAAATGGAAGAGTGCAAAAATGGGCGGCCGGTGGGAAGGTGAAGATGAGGGGGCCAGGGCACCCCCAGCTGAAAAACTACTGTGCATCCAGAAAAGCTTCACATCCACCCAGCGCCTGCTGATCTGTTGACCCCACACCTGGACTTCTAGCCCCACCAGCCGGGGTAACCTGCATCAGGTTTGCTTTGGTTACGTAAAAGAAGGCAGCTAACCAATATTCACGTATGCTGATTAGCATTGATGTTTAAAGTCGTCCAAATAATTAAATATAATCATAAAGTGTCTAAGAATCTTCCTTGTGAGTCTTATTTAGTAACAACACTCCATTCTTGTCACATGTGTTCAGCCTTTGTAAATTCCTACATAAGTAGCATGATTATTTCCTCATGATTAAAAATCAAAGAAGTATTATTTCACACCCGTCTGGAGATTGAAAGCATGAACCCGTGGAAAAGTAAGTTTTATTAACAGCCACGGAATTAAATAAAATCACACTTTGATGGTTTTAGTAATGGGTAGGACAAAGAGGTAATTCAAATCAAGTTACTCCCAAAGTTAAGAAAACATCAGTTAGCGAAAGAAAACATAGATCTCTATTTTAGCCGAGCAATATTTTTAAAGGCTATGTTGATGAAGAGTGTTTAATTGTGCCTGGTACGTAGAGAGTGTGCAGTGAATATTAACTAACTGAATAAATGTGTACTACAGCCATACTACCCTGAGTGTACCCAATGTCATCTGATAAACGTGTGAAGGAATTGCTTTTCCGGTTTATACCAGGCTGTTAAAATAAATTTGAGAATATTTAGCTGTTTTCTACATTCTTCAGTTCTTTATCACTCCTTCACATTCGGTCAACACTGAAGATTTTGTCTCCTTGGATTGTCAGTGGTAGGTCCCATTAATTTTACCTTCTTTCCAAAGCCCATTCTGTCTTTGAAGATTGCCTGTCATACTGCCCCATTGTTGGATTCAATCAGATCTAAAAAGCACCACATCTCCGGCACGTACAGTGATGGAATCCTGCGCAGCCGCTGGAGTGGTGCGGAAAGGGTGCCGCCTCGTCTCTAGAGTGCTTCCAGGCACCGGCACACGCATGCCCCAGGAAGGCCTGAGAGCAGGATGTGCGTCATGGACCAGCCCCGAGCTATCTGCACCCTTTCAGGTTCCTCCAGCGGGAAGTGAGAAGCTACCCTGATGCCGGGGTAGCGATGGGGTGCTGGGTCGCTCAGCCATACTGAGTTGGTGGGAAGTCGGAAAGGCATCAAAGTACCACATTGTCTCTCACAACTCCAACACTATGTTCCAGCGAAAGCACAGGTCAGTGAGACCTGTGATTATTATTCACACATTAGGACTGTCTCTGCCCCTCCGCTTGCAGGATTGCACTGCCTACAGAGGAAAAGCTAGTACACAGTGAATTGAGACTTCTGAAAGTGTGAAATTTTTCATCTGCGTGAGAGTGTTCCAACTCCTCCTTTTATTACCCCTCCGCCCTAAGACTGGATTCTTACACTGCCTGCACTGCACCTCTCTTTTCTCTCTTGCGAAGTGTGAGAAAACAATGCTGACCCCCATGTCTGTGAGTCCCGTGGCGGCACATGGTGAACACTCAATGGCTGGCTGGCAGCCATTAAACGGGCACTCAATAAATGCAAATGTATATGTACGTGTGTGTGTGTGTGTGTATATATGTCTGCACACATATACACACACATTTACACATTATATAGCTATATATTATATAATTGCTTATTATATATTATATAACAAGCACTACTATAATATATAATTATATATTATATAATACCCTACATAATGTACTACATAATATGATCTTTACTAATATTATATTACATAGTATGTGTTGTATATTTTATATATTATATAATATGTAGTACATAGTATATAATGATATTATATATTTATATTATATATTTGTCCATCATACGTAGTATGCATGC